ATTTTTGGCCTAAATTTGGCTAATCTTATATATATAATATATTTACAGATGTGTATAAGAGACAGGATAAATTATCTGTTGATACACAGATAATAAAAAATGGGAAAATTTGGAAAAAATATCTGTAAAAATTTTTGGAAAGTTTTGCAGATAATATATGCAAAATATCACAGATCATCTGCAAAAAATTCCCAAAAATGGAAAGAAATAACTGTGATAATTTATCTGTATATTGACAGACTTTTGTCCGATTTGGCTTGCCATAAAAAACACAACAGCTGATTATGAACTATAAGCAGACAGGTGTTAAGAATTTTTGTGTAAAAATTTTTGTGATAAATGGCGTGATAGGAACCTACAAGTTTAGCTGACCTAATACTAGCTCCTTCAGAATATAGATAGCCTTACAAGCTTGTCTGATACACAGTGAAATTCGATATAACAGAACCATCCGTTCCAGTAAAATTATCCGGTATATCGAGACTTCCGATATATCAAAAAATTTCGATATACCGGATTTTATATATAAATCATATGAAATTCTGTTATGTGCTACGAACATTGAAATTTAGATTATTTTTTATTTAAAAAATTATTTGAGAAATTTTATACACTGAAATTAACTAAAACTTAAAAAAAACATCTATCCTCTGTTTTGCTTTTCTTACTTCACTATTAGACATATTTTCAATAAAAAAAAGTTCGTGATTAAAGTGTAAAAAAAGATTTCATGTATGATCTGATTTATTTTTAGGGGTTTCACATATATTAATATTTCCAAATAAACAATGTTATTTAGGAAATTCTATTTATATTACATCCTTATAAAGTGATAAAGATTCTTCAATATTTTCAACATTTCTAGTCAATATATTCAGAAAAATTTCATTTAAAATTTCTAAAAGGTCATCACACTTGCTGCTAATTTTATTGAATATAACTGATTCGTCTGTTATAGCCATTATTGAGATTTTACTAATAAATTTCACTGTGTATTAAGTTTTTGAGCTAAATTTTAAATACTGATGACCTTACAACTTTATGAGCTTGTCTGATGTTCAGTCTTGATCATGCCTGAGAAGATAAGGATCAGACAGAATGAATAAGAATACAGTTCAAAGCTCATTATTGTAAACCCTTGGTTTCAACCATTTTTGTCACTATAATGAATATTCACAAAAACAAAAGAATTCTTTATAGTAAACCTTATCATATTAATACAATAATTTTTGATTTTAAAGCCTTAAGAATTTCCAATTCTATGTATATTTAAACCAATGAATTATTTATAATTTCTTTATCTGGCAATAGTTCTATTGGCATTTTATAGTATGATCTTGTAAATTTAATTTCTTATTCAAATAATATCAATAATAGAGTGAAATACCAATCCTAATTTTATATTTAAATCTAATGATTTTATGTAATATTCACTATAATGAATATAAATTTATAATGTATATAAAATTTTTAAAAGTTTAGATTTATTAGTAAGTTTACTATAACTAGGAAATAGAAACTGGTGTAAATCTGAAGTGAAAAAAGGTTATAAATAAACCTTTATTTTGTTTATCTGATGTATCACAAATTTATTTTCATCTGATGTAGCACTAGAGCTCTGAACAAGTCAGGTAGGGTCAGGTAATTGACTTGACCTGGCCCGAGGAGAGTTATGAATTTGATGATTTAACCCAAATATCATGAGTCAGTTCAGATACTTAACCTGATCCAAAAAAATGTTTTAGTGTTTTTTATTATTTTATATATTAAATTATAAGAAAAACCCCTAATTTTTACAATTATTTTATGAAAAAGAACGTTTTGGCATTTTTTTTACATATTAAATTACACCAAAATATTTATATATCAAGTTAAATCAGGTACCTGACCTGATTTGTTGATGTTTAAAAAAAACGTTTTTTGATTTATTTAATGAAAAATGTCAGTTATATGGTTTTTTAGTTTTTTATTAAAAAAAAATGTTTTTTTTTCAATTCATTTAATGGAAAAATGTCAAGTTTGATATTTTTTGATTTATTTAATGAAAAAAAATGTCAGGCATACTTTTTTTCATTAAAAAAAAATACTTTTTTTATATTTAATGAAAAAAATGATTTTTTTTGATTCATTTAATTAAAAAAACGTCAGGTTTAGCAGGATTCCGCTTACTTATAATAAAGGTCACCATAAAAAATTGGCCCTTTACTATACATGCTGCCCAAATTATTTTGGGATGTCATAATTCATTCGGTTTATATATAATTTACTATGTAAAGTGCCAAAATAATTTGGGATGCCATAATTGAATTTGGGATTTTACTTATAATTACGGCAGTCCAAAATAATTTGGGTGGCATGTATACCCTTTACTAATAGTTTTTACCTTACTTTTTTCTTAAATTCTATTGGTTAATTAGCTAAAAAAAAAAAAATCATAACAATGTAACATAAAATTTCCTTTTATAGTAGGATCTGCAAAGAATTTTATATATGATTTTTACTTTAGACCTGGGAGTGACCTATCTTATAAGTAAGTGGATCCTAGTTTAGCATTTTTTCATTAAAAAATATTTTTTTTTTTGATTCATTTAATGAAGTAACATTGAGTTATACATTTTTTCATTAAAAAAACATTTTTTTTGATTTATTTAATGAAAAAATATCAGGTTATATGTTTTTTTATTTATTTAATGAAAAAACATCAGGTTTGACATTTTTAACTAAAAAAAAAAGTTTTTTTGTTTCTTCTAATGAAAAATGTTAGATTCAGTATTTTTAATTAAAAAAAACTTTTATTTGTTTTTTTTTAATAAAATACATCAGGTTTGACATTTTTGATTTAAAAAAAATGTTATTATTATTATTTTTATAAAAAAACATTGGATTCAGGTCAAAAAAAATGGGTTAGCACTTTTTTATTTATAAAAAATGCCAAAATGTTTTTTTTGATTTAAAATATCAGGTCAATGAGTTAGATCAGATACCCGATTTGTAAATAACCTGACCTGAGATCAGGTTATTAAATTTGCTATCTGACCTAAATTTTTCAGGTTAATCTATTGGATCACCTGTCTCAACCTGATCCATTTAAAACTCTATGTAATACAAAATTTCAATGATGTGAATAAGACCTAGAAATATATATACAGGGGTAGGGTACACAAATGCGTTACCATCATAGTGAAATTAGACAGAGTAAAGTTTTGATTTGCGTACAATTTTAGAATTTTTCATCTATAGTTAGGTCATCAAGATTGCATATTTTTTATCAAAATTTTTATATGTAAAAAATTAGTTTGCATATTTTTGGCCTAAATTTGGCTAATCTTATATATATAATATATTTACTGTACATACTAACCGCATTGTAATATTTAGTATAAATTGAAAGAAATTTCTAAGGGTTAAAAAGTAAATTTTAGAAAAATATTATTAAAAAAATGGTAAATTCTTTTTTTCACATTAGTATTTGGTTTTATAAATAATATAGAAGCTATGATAAAATAATTAATAACTTAATATCTGAAATTTTATTTGCATATTTTTGCAGGATTTTCAATATCAGATGTTAATTATGTGTACTACTCATATAAAAAGTCTTTGCATACAGGTGGTACAGCTCATAGTAAAAAAAATTTTTGCCACCTGACCCTTATATATATTTCTAGGTCCTATGTGAATATGTGATGTATGTAAATAATCAGATATCATTATATGATACTATTTGATATATATAGTCCTTCAAAAACATATATAGTCCTTTACTTCACTTCAGATAATGAATAAGATTTATTAGTAAGTAAACTGAAA